TAGGTGTGTTTATGAATAACTTTCTTCACACTGACAGGCATGAATACAAAAATTAAGGCAAGAACAACACGGGCTACGTCTAGACTACATCCCTTTTTCGTAAAAGGGATGTAAATTAGACGTATCGCAATTGCTAATGAAGCAGGGATTTAAATCTCCCCCACTTCATTAGCATAAAAATGGCTGCTGCTTTTTTTCAGCATGGAGCTTTGCCGGAGAAAAGCGCCAGTCTAGATACGGATCTTTCGGAAAATAAAGCCTTTTCCGAAAGATCCCTTTTCCTTATTTCATAGACCCACCTCCCTCAGCCTCTCCTCAGAGGTCATATGCTCCAGCCCCCTAATCATTTTGGTTGCCCTCCGCTGGACCCTCTCCAATGCATCCACATCCTTTTTGTAGTGGGAGGGGGGGGGCCCAGAACTGGCCACAATTCTCCGGGGCTACGTCTAGACTGGAATGATTTTCCGCAAATGCTTTTAACGGAAAAGTTTTCCGTTAAAAGCATTTGAGGAAAAGAGCGTCTAGATTGGCACGGACGCTTTTCTGCAAAAGCACTTTTTGCGGAAAAGTGTCCATGCCAATCTAGACGCACTTTTGTGCAAAAAAAGTCCTGCTTGGCGTTTTCACGATCGGGGCTTTTTTGAGCAAAACAAATCTGAGCTGTCTGCACTGGCCCTTTTGCGCAAAAACTTTCCCCACTTTTGCCCAAATGGGAGCAGCATAGTATTTCCGCAAGAAGCACTGATTTCTTACAGTAGGAACCCAGAATGCTCCGGGTCAACTTGATTGACACGGCAGGCAGGTTAATGAGAGCCAGGAGTGGGGAAGAGTCCTATTGCACTTGAGCTGCAATTACCCAGGTCGGAGCAGGGACCCGAAGTGATCTGGGGAGCAGAGTGGGGACAGACAGAGAGAGAGGCAGAAGCAGCCCAGGAAGCTGGAGGCAGAGCAGCATCAGTGCGGCAGCAGCATGGAGCCAGGGCTGGAGCAGATCAGAGCTGGGTGGTGTGAGCAGCTGAAGAGAGCGAGGGAGACCCTGGGCTGAGGGCATGGCCCAGGGAATCCCCACCAGTCCAGAGACCGGGCAGGTCACACTTGGGCTGTGTCTAGACTAGCAAGTTTTTCCACAAAATCAGATGATTTTGCGGAAAAACTTGCCAGCTGTCTACACTGGCCCCTTGAATTTCCGGAAAAGCACTGACGATCTCATGTAAAATCATCAGTGCTTTTCCGGGAATACTATGCTGCTCCCGTTTGGGCGAAAGTCTTTTTCCGAAAGACTTTTGCACAAAAGGACCAGTGTAGACAGCACAGTACTGTTTTCCGCAAAAAAGCCCCAATCACAAAAATGGCAATCGGGGCTTTTTTGCAGAAAACCGCATCTAGATTGGCCACGGACACTTTTCCGCAAAAAGTGCTTTTGCGGAAAAGCATCCTGCCAATCTAGACGCGATTTTTCCGAAAATGCTTTTAACGGAAAACTTTTCCGTTAAAAGCATTTTCGGAAAATCAAGCCAGTGTAGACGTAGCCTTGGGGTACATCTAGACTAGAAGCCTCTTTCAAAAAAGCCTCTTTTGAAAGAGAGCATCTAGACTGCAACCTCTTCTTTCGAAAAAGTGAGCCGCTTTTTCGAAAAAGCCCTGTTTGCATTCAAAAACGCTTTTTGAAAGAGTATTCGAAAGAGAATCTTACATTAGATCATCAGTGTTCTTGCGCAAATTCTCAAGGCCAGTTTAGACAGCCGGCAAGATGTTGCCAGTCTAGATGCACCCAACGTGTCAAGGCTATTCCCCACTCTGGCACTCGGAAGGCAGAAGATGGTGGCCCGCAAGAGACCTTAAACATACCCTGCCTCGATAGGCTTCTGCTTAAGTGCTCCCAAGTCAGATTCCCAACCTTGCCCTCGCCAAGTGACAACCCCTTTCTTCTTGAACCCAGGAAGAAGCATTTGGAACTTCTTCCAGAGGGGTAGTACTCCAAGCTCTTTTACTACAAGTGAGCTTGAAAAAAAGAGAAAGCCTGTTATCTCTGATAGCTGACCTCTCAGTTTTAAGCATGCATACACAGAGCTCCTATTACCTTCCAGGACACTAGAAACAAATCATTGCCTTAAAAAAAGGTGATTTTATTAACAAAACAAAAAAAGATATTTTTGATAAAGCATACTTGGTTGCAAGGTGGATTAATGCAATTGAGAAAAGAACAAATTAAAAACTGATTCAGTTTAAGGTTACAATGTAGGGAGGAGTGGAACATGGATTTAACACAGAGGCTACGTCTACACTGCAGGCTTTTTGTGCAAGAAGGCTACGTCTACACTCGCAGCCTCTAGTGCGAGAAATATGCAAATGAGGCTAAGCATGGAATATTGCCAAGCCTCATTTGCATACCTAATGAGCCACCATTTTTGCAGAAGAGGCTCTTGTGCCATAAGGAGGTGCCTATACTGCCCCTTCTTGCGCAAGAAAAGACCTCTTGTGCAATGCCACTATGCTGATTATTTTCAGGAATAACAGCATTGTGCAAGAGGGTTTTTCTTGCACAAGAAGGGGCAGTGTAGACAACTCCTTCTGGCCCAAGAGCCTCTTCTGCAAAAAAAAGGTGGCTCATTAGGTACGTGTAACTGATTAGTCTCTCGTCCCCACCCAAGTCCAGGAGGAGGCAATACTGTTCCCTCGTATCTAGAGACCCCTGGCCAGGCCTTTTGTCGTAGCCAACGGGATCGGCCGCAAGGCGGGTCAGGGGGGACTGGGGAGGGGACTCAGGCCCTCCCTCTCTTCGAGTCCCGGCCCAGGGCCCTAAGGCAGGAAAGGCTCTCCCTGGCCAATGGAGGGGGTCAAGACCCCTTAACCCTCCATTCACGGGGTCCACGGCCCTGCCCTGGGCTTCTTCTCCCCAGTCTGAATTAGTTTACTCCCCACCGTGGGGAAAGACTCACCGCTCATTGCCTTCTTCGAGTGGCAGCAGGAGTCTTTGGCTTCTCTGTGTTCTTCCCCTCTGCTTTCCTCTCTGGGCCCTTTTGAAAGGGCCGCCATTCCGCGTCCCCTGCTGGCTCCGCCCCCGCCCGCGTCATCTGGCTCCCCGGGAGTCCCGGGGTGACGTCATCCAAGAGCGCCGGCCCGGGTCGCAGCCTCACCACCATGGCCGCACCCGCCAGGATCGATGCAGCTCCAGGTTCCCCCGCCGCTTCTGACAATGCGGGGCAGCGTGGCGAGGCTGGCTCCCCCGTCACAATATGCAAATGAGGCTCAGCGATATTCCACTCAGCCTCATTTGCATATTTCTTGTGCAAGAAGCCACAAGCGTAGACATAGCTGAACTGTTTTGTGCAAGACTTCTTGTGCAAAAATTCTTGTGCAAGAGCACATCCACACTGCCATGTGCTTTTGCACAAGAGCATCCATGGCAGTGTGGATGCTTTCTTACACAAGAAAGCTCCGATGGCCATTTAAGCCATAGGGCTTTCTTGCACAATAAACTCCTGTTGCCTGTCTACACTACCTTTTTGCGCAAGTGCTCTTGTGCAAGAGGGCTTATTCCTCGTGGGGAGAGGAATAACTCTTGCGCAAGAAACCTTATTTTCTGACACTTTACTGTAAATTTGCTTGCCCAAGAACGCACGTGCAGTGTAGACGCTCTGCAAGTTTTTGCACAAAACGGCTGTTCTTGCGCAAAAACTTCAGGTATCTTCACTGCACGCATGTTCTCACGCAAGTAAATTTACAGTACACCGTTGGAAAACAGGGTTTCTTGCACAAGAGTTATTCCTCTCCCCACGAGGAATAAGCCTCTTGTGCAAGAGCTCTTCTGCAAGGAGGCAGTGTAGCCAGGCACTAGGGGTTTTTTGTGCAAGAAAGCCCTATGGCTTAAATGACCATCGGAGTTTTCTTGTACAAGAGAGCATCCACACTGCTATGGATGCTCTTGCGCAAAAGCATATGGCAGTGCAGATGTGCTCTTTTGGAAGACCTTTTACACAAGAACTCTTGTGCAAAACAGTTCTTGTGCAAGAAGCCTGCAGTGTAGCATTGTGTCTATATAGACATTTCCTATCTACTCACATACCCATGCTTCAAGGTCCAGTCCATTTCCATGCCCCATATTCTTTGTAGGCATAGTAGTTCTATCTGGTTCAATTTGTCTTGTTCCCTCAGCTCCTGGTTTAAAACTTACACAAAGAAACACAGGAGACAGGTATCTCTTACAATTCAAATGTCAATTCATTCTTCTTATTGGATCTGCTGGCTTCTTGCCAACACTTTCTAGCTACATAGGTTTAACTGAATACTGGGATGTTCAGAAAAGGCCAGCACTACTCCTATCCATCACACACCTTTCAAATCACAGACAATACTGAACAATGGCTGTCATTCTTTTCTGGAGGTTTAGAAGAAAACATAATACTATACTTGCACACACTAAATTCACTACTAAATATACAAAAAACTAAACAAGATCCCCTGCATGCATGGAATACAATGACTTAGATACAGGGTGAGTTTTAACTGGCTTAATCTGAAAAACTTTCATTGGAGAGTGCATCAGCCACTTTGTTAGAAGTTCCTGAAATGTGTTGGATGTCACACTTCACAGTCTTGGAGAGCCAAAACTCCACCAAAGGAATTTCTTGTTAATCTCTTTGACTGTGTGAAGCCACTTCAGAGCAGAATGGTTGGTCTGCAGATGAAAATGTTGTCCCCAAATGTATGGCCACAGACTCTCTAGAGCATATACAATGATGTAGCATCCGTTCTTGGAGACAGACCAGTGGCTTTCCCTCTCAAAGATTTTTTTCCTGAGGAATGCAACAAGGCAGAATTCTTGATATGGCCCTGTCTGCATCAAACCTACCCCCACACCACGCCCTGATGCATCCCTAGTGACAAAGAAAGGTTTGTTGTAGTCTGGGGCCCTTAGAATAGCATCAGACATAAGAGCAGCCTTAAGCTGCTTGAAAGCTTCCTGACACTTCCCACTCCACTTAACTGCATTTAGTTGCTTTTTTTTTTGTTCAGGTCTCTCAATGGATCCACTGCTGCTACTGTAGATGCTCGTCTGGGATCTGGTTCTGCCATTTTTGTCTGGGTCTCCAGCCTTGGGATGTCTGAGGATACAAACTGGGTCCCTGTAGATGGCTCAAGAATGGGGCTACGTGTGGAGGCATACTTAGCCCTGCTGCAGGTGACCATTCCCACCTTCTCAGCTTGTCTCAGTCCTCTCCCATCAGTACAGGAAAGGGATAATAATTTTAGATTGCAAAAGTCCAAATTCCTGACCAGCCCTTGTACATAGGAGACAACTTGGCTGTGGATAGGACAAAGGAATCTGCCTTGAAGGGTTGAACAGTTACTTGAGTCTCGGAGTTAGAGTTCAAGGTCCACTAGGGACTGATAGATCGCAGACACCTGTGCTCCAGTCTCTTTCCAGGCAATAACCTTCTTCCCACCCATATTCAGTTTCCCTTTTCTCTGGGGGTATCTGAGAAGCATCTGGGCCTGAGGACACTTGGTTTGACCAAAAGTGTAATGAATTGCACTCTGCTGGTGCTCCTGGGGCAGTCGGCTTTCATGTGCCCCAGCTCATTACATGCAAAACATCACCCAGCTGGCTTGTCAGTGGAGCAAGGTGGATTGCTAGATAATGGGGTTGTGTGATGAGAGGGGCTCTGTGGCTTCCCTTGGGGCGGAAAGGGCTCCTCACTGTGCGGTAGGCCCTTGGATTGTCCCCAGTAGTGGTACTGCCTGGGCACCCCTTCTGGTACTCACTCAAATGCCTGTCAGGTTTTTTTTCATCTCATCTTTGGGTTCTCCAATGTGATAGAACATGTGAACACTTATTAAAGCTTTCCAGCTTGAACTACAGCTGTCACCTTTCACTGGTGACAGATGTTCAATGAGGTATCAGCTCAGATAGAACCTTTGCCCACAATCTGAGCAGTTATAGGGATTCTATCATATATGAACTGTCTGATGTGCAATAGGATCTGAGCTCTTCCTACAACTTTTTCCACAGTCAGAGCAACTAAAGGGTATCTCCCTTGTGTGGGTTCTCTCATGACTAAGAAGACTTGAGCGCCTACCAAGTTTTTCCCACCATCAGAGCAGCTGAAGGGTTCCTCTCTTGTGTGGATTCTCCTGTCTAGCAAGGTCTGATCTCCCACAGAAGCTTCTCTCAATCACAGCAATTATACACTGTGCTCCACCTATTTTTCTCACAAATGTGAACAAGTTTTGTTAGGGGCCCCAATATGGGGAGAAGTGTGACACATCCCCATATTGGTGCACAGAACAAAATACATGTGGTAGGAGTGGCACTCAGGGGCTTGGATTTTGCGAAGAAGGCTCAGAGCTGGGGCAAAGAGCTGGAGAGCAGGGAGGGCTGGCTCTGGGGTGAAGTCGGGGATGAGGGGCTCAGGGCTGAGACAGGTTTGAGCTGTGGAGGAATGATATGTAGGGTGGGCCAAGGATGGAGAGGTTTGAGGGGCAGGCCACCAAAGGGCTACATTTGGGGAGAAAAGACTTCCACCAGCTTTCTCTCCCTCAGCTCATATGCTAGTGTGGGACCAAGGGAGGAGGCACCTCTCCTTGCCATAGCAGCTCTGGGGCTGTGGAATAGCCAACTGTCTGCCGGTCATCGCAGGTCTGGGCAGGGGTTGAGACCCATGAGTAGCAGAGGCATCAATCCCTACCATAGGCCTAAAATGCTTGCTAGGCATTTATTAGGCTGCAGTAAGGCTGTATGACCACACAGCTTACAGGGAACTTAGGTTATGTGGTTTCTTGCCTGTATGGAGTCTCCTATGCCTAACAAGTTCTGAGTGCTGAATGAACTTTTTCCTGCAGAATGAGAAGTTATAGGGTTGCATTAACAGGAACGTTGTGAGCAAGACATGAGAAGTAATTCTTCTATTCTACTCTGATTAGGTTTCAGTTGGACTACGTATCCAGTTCTGGGAACCAGATTTCAAGAAAATGTGGACAAATTAGTGAGGCTCCAGAGAAGAGCAACAAAAATGATTAAAGGTCTAGAAAATAGGACCTACGAGGGAATACTGAAAGAAATGGGTTTGTTTATTTTGGAAAAGAGAAGACTGGGAGAGGACGTGATAGCAACTTTCAGGTACCTAGAAGGATGTTACAAGGAGAAGGGGAAAAAATTGTTCTCCTTGGCCTCTGATGATAGGAGAAGGAGAAAGAGGCTTAAATTGCAGCAAGGGAGGTTTAGGATTCTCCTGTGTGTATTGCATGATGATTGTTAAGATTTGAGCATTGACTCGAGGTTTTCCCACACACAGAGAAATCAAAGGGTTTCTCCCCTGTGTGGGTTCTCCTATGTGTAACAAGACTTGAGCTCCTACTGAAGCTTTTCCCACAGTCAGAGCAGTTAAAGGGTTTCTCTCCTGTGTGGATTCTCTTATGATTAATAAGATGTGAGCTCCAACTGAAGCTTTTCCCACAGTCAGAACAGCAAAAAGGTTTCTCCCCTGTGTGGATTCTCCTATGTTTAACAAGGTGTGAGCGCCCATGAAAGCTTTTCCCACAGTCAGAGCAGCTGAAGGGTTTCTCTCCTGTGTGGATTCTCATATGTGTAACAAGATGTGAAGTACTACTGAAGCTTTTCCCACAGTCAGAGCAGCTAAAGGGTTTCTCCCCAGTGTGGATTATCCTATGTCTAACAAGTTGTAAACTCTCACTGAAGCTCTTCCCACAGTCAGAGCAACTGAAAGGTTTTTCTCTTGGGTGATTTCTCTTATGTCTAATGAGACTTGACTGCTGATTGAAGCTTTTTCCACAGTCAGAGCAGCTGAAGGGTTTCTCCCCTGTGTGTATTCTCCTATGCGTAACAAGATTTGAGCGCTGACTGAAGCTTTTCCCACAGTCTGAGCAGTAAAAGGGTTTCGCCCCTGTGTGGATTCTCCAACGTCTAACAAGGTCTGAGCTCTCACTGCAGCTTTTCCCACTGTCAGAGGAGATGAAACATGGCTCTCCATTGTGGGTTCTCTGATGTCTAAAAAGATTTGAGCTCCTACTGAAGCTTTTCCCACATTCAGAGCAGGAAAAGGGTCTCTCTCCTGTGTGGATTCTCCTATGCTTAACAAGATGTGAGCGCCCATGAAAGCTTTTCCCACAGTCAGAGCAGCTGAAGGGTTTCTCCCCTGTGTGGATTCTCATATGTGTAACAAGATCTGAGCTCCTACCGAAGCTTTTCCCACAGTCAGAGCAGATGAAGCGTTTCTCCCCAGTGTGGACTGTCCTATGTCTAACAAGTTGTGAACTCTCACTGAAGCTTTTCCCACAGTCAGAGCAATTGAAAAGTTTTTCCCTTGTGTGGTTTCTCTTATGTCTAATGAGACTTGAGTGCTGATTGAAGCTTTTCCCACAGTCAGAGCAGCTGAAGGGTTTCTCACCTGTGTGGATTCTCTTGTGTGTAACAAGATTTGAGCGCTGACTGAAGCTTTTCCCACAGTCTGAGCAGTAAAAAGGTTTCTCCCTTGTGTGGATTCTCTGATGTCTAACAAGGTCTGAGCTCTCACTGACGCTTTCCCCACTGTTAAAGGGATTGAAACATAGCTCTCCATTGTGGGTTCTCTGATGTCGAAAAAGATTTGAGCTCCTACTGAAGCTTTTCCCACACTCAGAGCAATAAAAGGGTTTCTCTCCTGTGTGGATTCTCATATGTGTAACAAGATCTGAGCTCCTACCGAAGCTTTTCCCACAGTCAGAGCAGTTAAAGGGTTTCTCTCCTGTGTGGATTCTCATATGTGTAACGTGCGTTGCTGGATGTTCAATAAGAGTTGCATAGTCACTGTAAGTGTAGGGTGTTTGTTGATGGAGGATTTTCTGTTGAATGGTTTCTGTGTTTCTTCTCACACTGTGCTGTAGCAGGGACTGTATTGCTGCGTTGCTTTGTGTGCTGTGTGTGGTTCCTACTGTCCCAGGACCTGCAACACTGTCTGGAGGAGGGGGATGACTCACTGCAGAAGAGTATTTGGCCCCTGACACCTGAGGGCCAGGCATAGGAGATAACTCCTGCCCAGTAAGGGAGACAAAGGGAGGTGGGGCTGCCAGGTGGGGGACTAGGGCCTGGGGGGATGAGTCACTCTCAGCTGTGTTAGGATGAGAGGAGGGGCTTACAATAGGAACAGGGGGGAGAAGGGCCCAGGACCCCTTCTCCCCGAGAGGAATGATACTAGCTGCTCTGTGTCCCTGTGGTAACATTGATCCTATGCTACACTGTGTCCCTGTGAAGCAATAAACCTCCTGATCTACCTGCCGGTTGAGAGTCATGTCTGGCTGCAAATGGGGGTACAGGTTTTGGGGACTTCCCAAAACTTCATGACACACACTTCTGCTTCTGGGACTGGATTCACCCTGTTCCTTCTCTGGATGGTTTCCCTTCTGCGTTTCTGGGCTATGCTGTCTCTCCAAGGTCTCTCCCTGCTCAGGACTCTGAAAAACATGCCCTTCAAATCTTCCCAATAACATCCCACGTGGAGCCACTTGCTCTGATCCTTCCTGCTGGACACTCTCATTGGTCTCACTCACCGTTCCATCACATGCTGGAATAGAGACAAAAACCAGACTGCATTGAGCTAAAAGGAAAACTCTGAAAGGGGAATAGAAAAGAGGGAACACACCCAAATAATGGCTGGAAAGGTTCAATAATCATGAGCTAAGTTCATCCTCCTACCCCACAACCCATTCCCAAAGGAGTGAACCCAGCCTTCCCCCACATCCTCTGATTGGAATTGAAAACAGGCTGAAGGGTCAGCTGGACTGATGAAAACGCACAAGTGACACCTACTATGAGGACACAGAAATTGGTTTCTGAGTCAGTTTAGCTGATTGCTCACCTGTGTGGGTGTGGCTGATGATCTCCCCTTCTTCATAGCCCTGGAGATCTGGGATCCATAGCTCCTCCCCTCGCTCCACCCACGAGATCACATGAGCTTTGGAAACTGGAAATCCTGCTCAGGGAGCAATCAGCCAAGTGTTGATCTTGTTCATTAAGGTCTGTGCCAGTACTGCTTCCAGAGCCAGAATCTGAGTCACCCACTCGGGGTACATCTACACTTGCTCCTTAGTTCGAGCTAGGGATGCAAACGTAGCCGTCTGAAATTGCTAGTGAAGCAGGGATTTAAATATCCTGCGCTTCATTAGCATAATCTCGCCTGCACAGTATTCCGTTCAACAGCTGATTCGAACCAGGAAGCGCACTCAGGGACGTGTTAGTTCGAATAAAGCCCCTTGCTTCGAACTAACATTACTCCAAGTGTTGATCTTGTTCATTAAGGTCTGTGCCAGTACTGCTTCCAGAGCCAGAATCTGAGTCACCCACTCGGGGTACATCTACACTTGCTCCTTAGTTCGAGCTAGGGATGCAAACGTAGCCGTCTGAAATTGCTAGTGAAGCAGGGATTTAAATATCCTGCGCTTCATTAGCATAATCTCGCCTGCACAGTATTCCGTTCAACAGCTGATTCGAACCAGGAAGCGCACTCAGGGACGTGTTAGTTCGAATAAAGCCCCTTGCTTCGAACTAACATTACTCCTCAAAAAATGTTACTCTTCATTTTTTGAGGAATAACGTTAGTTCGAACCAAGGGGTCCGGAATGCGCTTCCTGGTTCAAATCATCTGTTGAGCGGAATAATGAGCGGGCAAGATTATGCTAATCAAGCGCAGGATATTTAAATCCCCGTTTCATTAGCAATTTCGGTCGGCTACATTAGCATCCCTAGCTCGAACTAGGGAGCAAGTGTAGATGTACCCTCAGAGAGGCTCCTTCCCCACCTTGCAGAGACTGGGCTCTGGATGGTACAAAATCCAGAACACAGCCCTCCTCCCCGTATTCCCTGGAAGAACTGAGCTCTCTGCTGCATCCTCAAGGGCAGTGGTTCTCAAAGTGTGGTCCAAGGACCACTAGTGGCCCACGACCATCTTGCAGATGGGCCACAGGCTTGGGACTTGCCTCCTAGCCTTCAGTGTGGAACCAGCGCTGGTGCTATGGCCCGAAACCCCCATTCCAAGGTTGAAGCGCCAGCACCAGCTTCCCATACAGGCTGGGGGGTGGGGGAGAGCAAGCCTTGCAGGCTGGGTATGACTTGCTGGAGAAGGAAATGGCTCTGTGTGCACACACCTGAAGGCTTTCCCTGCTGCTCCCATTGGTCAGAATTATGGCCAATGGGAACAGCATGGGGCAGTGCCCGGGAGTGGTGGGGGGAATGGAGCCAGGTAACCCCCTCTCCTCCCACTGAGACCCCACACCCCTGTCCCTCTCATGTACTCCCCTCCCAACAAAACCCTGCATGCCCAACCCGCTCCTGCACACATCCTTATGGCAGAGCCCCTACCCTTCAGCCCATTCCTGCACCTTACACCTTACCCAGATCCCCCACTTGCTGCCCACTCCTACCCTCAACATCCCACCTAGACTGCTCCTGCATCCTAGCTCTCACCCAGACCACGTACCCCCACGCCCGTCTACATACATTTTGTCATCAAGGTGGTTGGCTTGTGGTCCATGGAAAAGTCTGCATTATGGGCCAAAGAGGTTGAGAACCACTGCTCCAGAGTACAACTAAGTTTCCCTTATGACCCATTTCATCCCTCCACCCACCCCAGGGAAGGACAGGAACATGCTGCTCTGGTGAGGGCTTGCAATTCTGACACTGAGGCCCACAGACAGGGCTCGGACTGCAGAGGGCACATGGGACACAAGGAGACCCGCCCTTGGGGAATGAGCCATTGGTGGTGTGCACCACTTCACGCTCCAAGGTGCGGGGTGTGCCCTGGTGGCTGCCGCCTGTCTGCGGTTTGACTTGGGTTAGAGGAGACTGTAGTGTCTTTCCCTCACTGCCTCAGCACCTGCTGCCCCCATGTGGCAACAGTGGCTGTGAGTGGCTGGTATGACTCCTCGGTACAAACCTCTTCCCTGGGGATCTCCACTGTGCCGGGTGCTTGGGTCTGTGCCGCTGAGAGGGGCGGGCCACTCTGGGCTGGCAGCCAGGACCATTCCCTGCCTGTGCTCAAGGAGAGAGGCTTTTCACCAGAGGGATTTCCTTTCCTTACGTTAGGCTGGGTGTACTTTGTTATGTCTGGCTGGAGGGCTCGCTGACTGCCAGCCGCCATCCCTAGGGAGTAATGTTCATCTAGGCTAGAAGATGAGTCTTGTTCTTGCCTCTGTACACTTTCACCTCTGAACTTGCTGGATGGGAAATTCTCTGATGGATGCTTACGTATAATATGCAGAATAAAATAATATGGTAACAGCATCATGTGTGTTTGTAGCATGCCAGGCTGTTGTGTTGTAACTCGAGTTGGAGAAAGGAGTTGCTGTGTGTGTGAAATATTTGAAAAGAAAGAGAATTAAGAAAGCGAGCTATTCAATTTTAGACCAACTTGCCAATGACTTTGAAAGTCCAGAAATTTAAACTTCATTAACCCCATTTCCAAAAAGCACAGAAGTAGTATCAGACATGATTTAACCTGAGATAACGAATCATTAGACAGAGAGTTGGCAGAAGACAAGATAATTCATCAAGCAGCCCCGCCGATGTGCTGTGACTGGAGCGGGGGCCACAGTGCTATTTTTAGTACTGCGGCCTCGCATGGCAGGCAGCTGCCCTGTGTTCTGGGACTGGAGCCAGGCCACAGCGCAGCTACTTCTGGGGCAGGGGCAGAGTACTAAAAATAGCACCCCCACTCTGCCCTCCATGGTGCTCTGCCCTGGGAGGGTTGACGGGTGCAGATATCAGGAAAGCAGAAGGTGAGGGAAAGGGCAGGGGGAGAACCAAAGGGAAGGGGAGGTGAGGAGAGGAAGGGGCTTGTGCTGACAGGAGAGGAGGGAGCCAGGGCAGGAGAAGAAAGAAGAAGGCACCACGGGAAAGGGTGGAAGAACGACAAACGCCAGGGAGTCGAAGAAAAGACAATGAGGGGAAAGGGCAGATGTCAGTAAGAGTGAGAGATGGGAGGGGACAGGGTGATGCTGGGAGAGGAAAGTGGAGGGGGCAAGAGGGTAGAAGAGAGGTTGAAAAGAGGGGTGGGCATGAGGAAGGCAGGGGATGGAGTAAGTCATGTGCGAGGGCACAGAGGGGCATGAGAATTGGGGCAGAGGGTAGTGAGGGGGTGGGCACCAGGGAGAAAGAGGGCAAGGGCGGCAGGTGTTGGGAGGGCAGGAGCAATGAGGCACCGGGGCAGGGAGGGTAAGGGAAGGTGCAGGTGCCAGGAGAACTGTGGGGGTGAAGCAGAATGGCGGACACGGAAGGGGAGGGACAGGCACCAGAGGGCAGAGGAGAGAGGCAGGGCAGGTGGGTAGAGGGAGGCATTAGGAGAGGGGATGGGGAGGGAGGCTAGTGGATGGGCAGGTATGGGGGGAAAGGAAGTGTAGGTACAGGGGTCAGAGAGGATGGGGAGGGGGACAGGTCCCAGGAAGGCTGAGGGGAGTGAAAAGGGCAGGAGCCAGGACAGCAGGAGGGTGAGGGGCAGCAGCACGCACCCAGGGGGCAGATGGGGCAAGGGAAGGGTGGGAGACATAGCAGCAGAGGGGAAAAGGGAGAGGTTTATAACTTGAGTGCACCAATATTGAGGTCACGTGCACACATCCGAACAAGTGCACATGACCTCAATATCGGTGCACAAGACAAAGCTCACTTCTCTCATGGATGGAAAAATCTTAGAGGGAACAGTGGTGGAAAACACGCCGATCTGTGCAGTACCTGCAAACACACACTCCGGAGAGGTGGCAGAGGAACACACTGACCCTTGCACAAATCAGGAGGAATAAGGGGATACGGATGTTTTGTTACAATGAGCAGGTACAAGGACAAGTGGGGGAGGCGGGGGAGTAGAAAGACACGGAGTGCAACGTGCACCATGTTTGTGTCAAGGTGTATGAAAGGGGAAGTCACAGGAGGGGCGTGTGGGTGCTGGCTGAGGGGCAGCGTTCTGGTTGCTGGCTGAGCTAGTGCCATTGTTGGGGTGGGACACGTCTCACCGTACCTGTGCCTGGGGAGCTGGGACACTAGCACCCTGCTCCTTCGACAATAAACCTGGGCAAGCATCTTAGTCCCCAAATGGAGCCTGGGTCTTTCTTTAGCAAAAACCCTGAGCTGTGCTTCATGGGCAAGCTGGATGCTCTGCCAGTGCCGCTGGCATCAGAGCTCCAGAAAGAGCTGCCCTGAGCAGCCGTAACAAAGGTCTGTGGAGCTAGCAGCAATATATGAGGCACTGCAGCCACTATGGGAAGCAAAGATTATCAGTCACAAAAGCACTTGGGATCTCCAGTGTCAATCAGGGGTGCTTATATGGAGCTGAGCATCTCTCCTATTTAATGTATGTATCCTTCCCCAGTCCTGTGAACCAGGGACATAATGATATTAACTACTGCAGATGTAGGGGGCTAGACAAAGACAATGTAAGTGACTTGACCAAGGTGACAAAGGAAGTCTGTAGAGCAGGGAATTGAACACAGTTTTCCCAACACCAAGGCTACCGTATATTCCGGCGTACAAGACGACCTCTGATGTTAAAAAACATCCCCCAAAAATCGGGGGTTGTCTTGTACGCCGGGTATACATCCCAGGCGCGCCTGGGATGCCCGGCTGCCGGCTTCCCCCGAGGCTTTCAAAGCTGCTCCCGGTGCCTCTGGTCTGCTGGGGACCATCTCCAGCAGACCAGGGACACCGGGAGCAAAGGAGGCGGAGGGGCCCTGGGGTATAAGATGAAACCCTATCTTTTAATTAAAAAGATAGGGGGTCGTCTTATACGCCCAGTCGCCCTATACGCCGGAAAATACGGTACATCTACACTGGCGCGATCTTGCGCCAAAGCAGCCGTTCTTGCGCGAAAACTTGCTGCCTGTCTACACTGGCCGTGAGTTCTTGGGCAAGAACGCAAGAACTCTGACGCTCCCGCTCAGGAATAAGCCCTCTTGTGCAACTGTTCTTGCGCAAGAGGCCAGTGTAGACAGGCAACATGAATTTCTTGCACAAGAAAGCCCGATGGTTAAAACGGCCATCAGAGCTTTCTTGCGCAAGAGAGCGTCTACACTGGCAAGGATGCTCTTGCGCAAAAGCCAGTGTAGACGCTCTCTTGTGGAAGAGTTTTTGCACAAGAACTCTTCTGCAAAAGAGTTTTTGCGTGAGAACGAGCTAGTGTAGATGTAGCCCAAGTGCGGTGCCTGAAATGCAAGAAGGGTTCTCCCTATGTTTATCTACTATAGGGCTACCTCCACAGAACATTCACCAAACATGAAGGCTACGTCTACACTGGCCCCTTTTCCGAAAGGGGCATGTTAATTTCACAGGTCGTAATAGGGAAATCCGCGGGGGATTTAAATATCCCCCGCAGCATTTAAATAAAAATGTCCGCCGCTTTTTTCCAGCTTTTAGAAAAGAGCGTCTACACTGGCCCCGATCCTCCGGAAAAAAAGCCCTTTTCCAGAGGATCTTATTCCTACTTTTCTAAAAGCCGGAAAAAAGCGGTGGACATCTTTATTTAAATGCCGCGGGGGATATTTAAATCCCCCGCGGATTTCCCTATTACGACCTGTGAAATTAACATGCCCCTTTCGGAAAAGGGGCCAGTGTAGACGTAGCCTTCATGTTTGGTGAATGTTCTGTGGAGGTAGCCCTATAGTAGATAAACATAGGGAGAACCCTTCTTGCATTTCAGGCACCGCACTTGGGCTACATCTACACTAGCTCGTTCTCACGCAAAAACTCTTTTGCAGAAGAGTTCTTGTGCAAAAATGACTCACTCACACTCCTGCAGCCCCACCACCCAGCCCCTCTCACAGGCAGGAACCAGCATGTCACAGAGATCAGCCACAGGCAGGGAAGGACCCCAGGAACTGCACCCTCCTTCCAGGGGCTCAGCCCAGTGGCACAACGGTACCCTGTAGGCACTAACAGCAGCCAGACCCAGAACTCTGGTACCTGCCGTTCCTGCCTGGGTCTTTCCACTGACACCTCCAGCCAAGGCACAACATGGGCAGGATGGTGAGGAAGCACACTGAGATCTTGGCTGTGGGAAGAGCAGCACCATTGCTATGTCCCTCAACCTGTTTCCCCTGGGAGGGGGCATGGAGGGGACAGTCTCTCACACAGGAGCCAGGATTATTGAGGCTGATTCTCCTGACACTAGGGGGAGCAGAGGGCAATGAGGGACCCTGAACAAAACCCAACACAGCTACTCCAGAGCCAGCCCAGCTTCTGATACCCGAGAGGACAGGAATCCTTACCCAGCCAGCTCACGGCCTCATAATTCTCATGCATCACATCCCAGTAGAGGGCTCTCTGACCCGGGTCCAGCAGAGCCCATTCCTCCTCAGAGAAATACACAGCCACCTCCTCGAAGGTCACCGGCTCCGCCACAGCCATTTCCTTTCTCTGGATCTGTGGGCCATGGGCTGAGCTGTAGCAAGACATGGGTGTTCTGCAGCCTGTCAGGTGGAGAAGGACAAATGGAGACATATCAGAAGGGGCTTTAATCCTTTTCACACCCCCAGTTTCCCCAGAGTCTGTCCCTGGTGACACACATGCTAGATGCGGTCATTTTGGGCAAATGGTGAGTCTCAATATTCCATAAACAGCACACAAAAGTAAGATCCCAAATCCACATTCACTTCTCTCAATACCTGGCTTGAGTTTCAATGTTCCTACGCCTGTAACAATGGAATTCAGTTCTGAGCATCAGGCGTTTCCGATAAACCACCCACATATTCACCTGTCTGAATATGGATGTAGGCTGCTATATAGCTAAATTTAGGCTGCTGTATTTAAAACCCCTAGTTTTCCTCCATTTATTTGCAGCACAGACCTTGGTTCTCTCATCCAACAGAGACTTTATAAACTCTCTCCACAACAGAGATTAAGTGAAGTTTATACGACTATTCAGATATTTATTATTAAACCTGTGTGCTGCGTGTTTGCAAGATGAGATCCTAAAAATCATGGATTAATGGGATCAGAAGTAGCCTTAGTCACACAGTCTGACCCCCTCTGTGGTGCAATCCATTACACTTAACCCAGTTACCCAGGCACAAAGCTCTATTTCCCCCGAGGCATGTTTTCTAGAGAGTTGCCCGATGTTGAAGACATCAAGAGATGGAGAATCCACCGCTTCCTTTGGCTAATCCTCTTCCCCATCAAACACTTATGACTCCTGTCTAGCCTGAAATTGTCTGACTTCAGCTTTCAGTTCCTGATTTTCACTGAGCCATATACTTGACTGCAGAGCCCTTGGGGATGCAGCAGTTTCTCTCCATGAACAGACGGATACGGTGGTACTCAGTTCTCAGCCTTTTCAACCTATTTATTGTTTTAAACCAGTGCTTCTTAAACTATGTTCTGTGGAACACTGGTGTTCCGTGGACAATTCGCAGGTGTGCCGTGACCTTTTCTTTGTGTTTGTTACTTCTTTGTTTTTATCTTTTTTTGTTTGTTTGTTTGACAAGTTATTTAAAAAAAAAAAATTTCATAAGTGTTCTGCATAAAAAAATATTGTTTGGTGTTCCGTGGTCTCAAAAAGTTTAAGATACACTGTTTTAAATCAACCCCATATTGAAACTGAATTGACTGAGCAGTGAAATAGCCAAGATTGAAGGTACTATACATTGTGGCTACATCTACACTGGCCCCTTTTCCGAAAGGGGCTCTTGTGCAAGTGGGCAGTGTGGACTCTCGGCAGGGATTTCTTGTGCAAGAAAGTCCTATGGCTAAAATGGCCATCAGAGCTTTCTTGTGCAAGAGAGTGTCCACACTGCCATGGATGCTCTTGCACGAAAGCACAGCTCATACATGGCAGTGTGGACATTTTCTTGCACAAGACTGCTTGCACAAGAACAATTGCACAAGATATTCTTGTGCAAGAAGCTGCCAGTATAGACATAGTGCTTCAGTTTTAAAGGGCAGGTCGGTGCCCAGAGCAGCAGGTGAATATTTTAGGAACTCTCTGTGTTCCAGGGACACAAGACAAATATTACCGCAGATCTCCTGCAGCCAGTGGTAATGTGCAGCCGGAGACCAAGAACTGGGCTGAAATGGAGAACTGTGTCCCGCACAGAGCTGGGGTTCAGCAAATTCCTCGATGCTTTCCTGAATGGAGGCCTGTCCCTGACCCCGATCCTGGTAGAAGCCTCGTGGTCCGGCCCCCATCTGGCCATAGGAGAGGATGGAGGGGGCATCACTGCTACATCTAGGCTGGCATCATTTTCCGGAAATGCTTTTAACAGAAAAGTTTTCCGTTAAAAGAATTTTCAGAAAAGAGCGTCTAGATTGGCAGGATGCTTTTCCGCAAAAGCACTTTTTGCGGAAAAGCGTCCGAGGCCAATCTAGATGCTTATTCTTACTTCAAAGAATAAGTAAGAATAAGAGCCTCCGGAAAAGGGCACTTTTTCCGGAGGATCGGGGCCAGTCTAGACGCTCTTTTCCGGCTTTTTTAAAAGCCGGAAAAAAGCGGCGGACATTTTTATTTAAATGCCGCGGGGGATATTTAACTCCCCCGCGGATTTCCCTACGACGACTGCTGAAATTTACATGCCCCTTCCGGAAAAGGGGCCAGTGTAGACGTAGCCAGCCTGTGTGCTTTAACTTCACACCTTTAGCATTGTACCCCATAGAGCAGTGTCTCTCAAAGTGGTCTGCAGGCCCACTCTGAGAAAGCTGCTAATGGGCTGCTCTGGTTTGTTTACTTACTGGCTCCAGACATATGAAGCCTCATGGCTCCCATTGGCTGTGGTTCACTGTTGGCAGCCAAGAGGACCCACGGGAAGTGGCATGACCCAGGCTGCAGTTAAGTGAATGTGTGTTTTACAGACATAGGTGACCATGCATTAGCTTTCTCCTGCAGAGACACAGGGAGGAGATACCTCTGGTGATGTAAGCATGGGGCCCTGAACTCTTGCAAAAAAAGAGAGAGAATTCATTTTAAAAACCCTGGATTTTGGCAACACAGAACAGTAGGAAGAGTGAAGAGCACCATTGGAATGTATTGTAACAACAGATGTAGCACACAGAGAAACTGAAATATGTGAACTGAAGTACATGTACATGAGCAAAATTCCAAATATTTATATATACAATAAATAAGGGAATAGAAAATTAAAGCGTGTACTTCAGTGTTTGCAGAGTGGGGAATGACTTATAGAAATATGGATTTGTAATAAGTTTTCAAGTCCAAAATTATTTTCAAAAGTATCTTGGTGTTTTCACATTTAAAAATCTGGCCTGAAGTGAATGTTCAGAAAGCAAATATGGTCGGTGATGTAAAAAAAGCACATGGGCTAAGGTGACCATATTTCCTTATGTTGAATACTGGACACCTGGTAAAATTATTCATATTCAAGTGAGCTCCACAGCAATCAATCAGAACTGAGCAGCTCAAAGGTTCCAATTAACATCAGGTCCCTGTTAAACATAATTACTGTGTAGCTGGAGCCTTCTTATCTTTAAGGCTTTAGGGTTCACATGGCAGAGAGGGGACCGCTCCCCTGTACACCTCTCTCACTGATTGACCTGGCTTTCCCTGGCTGGCGCTCTCCTCCCTCCTGCCTGACTGGGCCCCGAGGACACACTCCCCTGTCCTGGAACCTGGGATCACATTTCTCTGGGGCAGCACATGGGCAGGGCCGCACTCCGCAGGGGGAGATGGAGATACAGGGGGGCTACAGAGCATGAAGGGGCAGAACAGGGAGGGGACAGCAAAAGGGGGAGGATGCAAAGGGCTGATGGGGCAGGCAGCAGAGGGAACAAGTCACCAGCTGCCATCCGGCGCCTGCTCATACTGACCAGTCATTGCTGCTGGCAGCGCAGTTAGTGCCAGACAGAAATGGGATGGGGGGGAGAAGGCTGACACACAGCAGAAACATGCTGATGGACCAGCTGGGGGAGCGGCTAGACAGCAAAAGGGGGAGGATGCAAAGGGCTGATGGGGCAGGCAGCAGAGGGAACAAGTCACCAGCTGCCATCCGGCGCCTGCTCATACTGACCAGTCATTGCTGCTGGCAGCGCAGTTAGTGCCAGACAGAAATGGGATGGGGGGGAGAAGGCTGACACACAGCAGAAACATGCTGATGGACCAGCTGGGGGAGCGGCTACCAGG